CTGCCTCAAAATGCAAATGACCAAATTTTCTATGAAAATCGTGAATACATTCTGCATGCAAACTTTTGTTAGAACCTGCAATGCAACAAGTGTCATCCTGCACCACATCATCATAATACAAAACAAACAAACGATCAACATATTCTGCATGCAATACATAATCATTTTTCTTTGTGATGATGCACTTCTTGTTCTTGAAGGAAACGTCAATGTTCCGCTCATTCAGCTGTCCAACGCTGAGCAGATTATGTTTGGCGTCTGGCACGTAAAGCACATTCTGTATCGATAAGTCCAAACTGTGAAGAACAACAGTTCCGTAGCCTTTACTGGGAATAGTGTGGTCATCCGCCTGGTGAATCGCACCTTCCTGCGGTGTAAAAGACACAAACAGTTTCTTATCGTTGCACATGTGGTGGGTCGCCGCTGAATCAACAACGAAGAAAGATCTAGACGTCTTCTGGACCTCTGCAACCTTTGGAGTGAAGCGTGAAACCATAGCCTTGTGCTGCGTTGTCCTAGACACCGGACCTTTGCCTTTGCCTCGGCCTTTTCCGCGCGATGAGCTTCGTTGCGCTGCTCTGTCTTGGCCCTGGGATGTCTGCATTCCCTCTTCATATGGCCTAGACGTCCACACGAGTAGCATTTCACTGCCTTCAAAGCTTTGGCGCCATCTGGTGGTTCCACTGCACTATGGGATGACGTCTGTGAAGACTCCCCTTGCCCATGCAGCTAGCACCCCGGCGATCTGCTTCATTTAAAATCACGGCAGTAACAAAGTCCACTGTCAGCTGAGCAGTTGGTTGCACAGCAATCTGGGTTGCAACAGACTCCCAACCTGAACCCAAAGATTGTAGTATCATGAAAGAATACACAGCCTCTGGAAAGTTGAGTCCTCTCTGTTGCAGCTCATGTCTCAGATTTTGCATCTCCATCAGATGTAAACGCACATCTCCACCTTCAGCAAGAGCCATATTATGCAGCTTGTTAAAGTAAAACATAGTGGATCCAGCTTCTGTCCTTAAGTGAGCCTCTCTCAAAGCGTCCCAAATTTCTCTGGCTGAGGTCTTATCACGCAATAGACAGAGCTCTTCTGGGGATACTATCAATGTAAGAGTTCCCTTGCTTTGGAATCCTTAGCTTCCCATGCATCTGTAACTGGAACTGGGGGTTCCTGTAATCACCTCAAACAAACCCTCTTTCCGCAGAATTGCCTCTGCATACTGAACCCAGTCGGCGTAATTTTTCTTGTTGAGCTTAGGAATCCCACAAGCATCCTGAAGGGCCATCATGACTCTGGCATTAGCCTTCAGCGTCATATATGCTGCTTTAAATCTTGCTGCGTCACTGCTGCAGCTGCTTTATTACAAAGGCGCACTTAAAAGTTACTTTCGATTTCCCCAGCATAGTGACTTGTGCCTGGGAGCCTTTTGCCTATTCCCGGCAAAACCGGCTTTAAAAGTTCAAAGTCCAGCCATAAAGCCATTAACTTGAAGCTGGCAGGCTGCCCGGAGCAGTAGCACATACCTCATCAATCACTTCTACGCGCAGAGCAGATTCCGTTCCGATCTGTCCCTCTGCATTCCGATCCTTTGCCGGCACTCCGATTCGACTTCTGGAGCCCATAACCACGTGTTGATTTAAGCAGAGTCTCGTGCCCAGCGGAAGGATGAGGAATACGTGCTGCATACTCTATATTGCTTTATTTACAGTTCAAAGCTGGTATATTACAGAAAGACATCTTGCCTCTGCCGGAGCAGAAAATGCATCCTCTCTCCTCGACAGCTCGGAGAGAATCACACAGTGAAAAACAGGAAACCAGTGTACGTCACATCCAGTCTCCCTTTCCCGTGAGAAACTCCAACAGTACAGACTGTGGAATGTAAACACCTGTCTCGTGACAAGCAGATGCTGCTCAGTGAAGGAAATAGAAACCAACATTGTGGAATGCTCTCCTCAGGGAGGCCTCACTGTGCATATTTGTTACATATCTTTAGGCACAATGAAAAAACATTCCTATTCTCCCAGGCCTTTGGCTAATTAAGGCTACAGCCCCACAGTCTGTGGGGTTATTGTTTTTGTTTGTTAACTATGGTATGCATTATATACCACCATGTGATCCTCAGATGAAAGGTGGAATAGAAATGTAATTGATTCATAATTCATAATAATAATTTCCCCAGATGTAGTGGTGTCTGGGGCATTTGAGATGGTGGCAGTGCACCACCAGATGCCATTGTTTTTGGGGTTAGCAGAATGCCCTAGAAAAAATAAAGTCCAAGGCATTTTGAGAAATAGAAAATGGCACTCACCACCGGCTAGCATTAGGGAAGTTGGAAATAACAACAACAAAAAAAGGTTAAAGACAAGAACCACTTCTGCCAGCCAATGGTAGCATTTCCAACCCTTTTAAGCAGTGCTATTTTTCAAGAATAAGAGGTGCTGGAACTCACCATGAACGCCTCCCTTATTCTCTTATAATGGCAATGGAGCCCAACTGAGAGATGCTGGAACTGAGTTCTGGTAAGTTCTGGCTGGGAAAAAACACCCCTTCTTTCAAGAACCTCTCAACCACTGAAATGGTTTCCATGCTCGCCAGCTTTAAACTGGGAGCCTCAGCATATGCATGTAACAAACTCTTGGCTTGAAGATGCCACTCATTGTAACATGCCCTTTTCTTAGGGAGTGTTCTGGGGAAAGGACACTGTGGTCTAAACCACTGAGCCTCTTAGGCTTGCTGATCGGAAGGTTGGCATTTCGAATCCCCATGACGGGGTGAGCTCCCATTGCTCTGTCCCAGCTCCTGCCAAGCTAGCAGTTCGAAAGCATGCCAGTGCAAGTAGATAAATAGGTACCACTGTGACAGGCAGGTAAACAGTGTTTCCGTGTGCTCTGGTTTCCGTCACGGTGTCCCGTTGTGCCAGAAGTGGTTTAGTCATGAGCCGGAAAGCTGTCTGTGGACAAACACCAGCTCCCTCGGCCTGAAAGTGAAATGAGCGCCACAACCCCATAGTCACCTTAATTCTCCACGGGTCCTTTACCTTTACCTTATTCTTCCATGACACCCTAATACTGAAGTGCAAAAGTCCACTATAATCCTCCAGTTTCCCCAAAAGGTGGATGTGCAGGATAAAATTTCAGAGTGCTTTTATATATTCAGGCCGTAGCAAAGATTGCATTTTCCCATCGTGTAACAAGGCACTGACAACATTAGGGAGCTGTTAGGCTGCTTGGAAATGTGGACCACTTAAAAAAAACCTGTCCATTTGAATGTTGCAAATGTTGCACTCTAGCATGACTGCCACCCAAGTGGCTTGTTTTAATGAAAGGCATTAGGAAAGTTCTTTCATTCATTTTCAGAGAGAGAAGTGGTGGTGGGAGGCGGGGGGTGGGGGTGGGCATGACCTTTTCTACCAGGGCATGTGCTAAATGGCAGCCAGCTACACTCCAGAAAACAATTATGCTTGGCAGTTCAATTGTTCATATGCTCACGAAATCTTTGGGGTCTTTAATCTACGCTGGCATGGAAGTTGAACTATACCTTGGAAAGGAGCCAAAATTTGCATCAGACTTTCAAATATCACTCATAGAGCTGAGGAGGACATAATAACAGGCACAAGCTGCAGAACTGGATGAATGTCGCTTGTTTAATAAATTATTAAGATGGCCATTTCATCCAAAAATTGTGTTAAATAAATTAGCCTGTGCTTTAGTCAACTTGTTTCAGTATAACCGCTAAAATAGTGCAGGAGCATATTCAAAGAGGCACCTAGGGGAATTAGATGACCTATTCCTATATTGGTTTCCAAATTTTCCCTTTTTGCCTAACAACAACAATATTTGTTGAATAATTTGACATTTGCTTCCTGGAGTATGACCAGATCTAGAATTCCACTGACAAATAATGTGTGCCGCTTTACCCTGCATGTTAATCCCATATGCCATGCTGCTCTTTACAAAAATATGGCCAGCGGGATAGTCATCAGATTCATAATTTCACTAATGCTGTTACCACAGTGCTGCTTGAGACTGCAGTCATTACGTTTCCAAAGGCTCAAGGCTACATAGAAGCAAAGGGCTGAGGGGATGAATAAAGCATCTCAACGCTCAATGTCATAAAGGGCATCTCCTGTGCAGAAATCCAAATGCCAGCAACATATTATGCCCCACACAGGTTAAGATAATCACCCATAGATTGAAATGCCACTACTAGAGAGCATAAGGATGGATAGAATTTCTGGAAAAAAACTATACCCAAGTTTGGAAACATTAGGGGCCAAACCAAACTTCCAACTTATGTTCGGTTTAGCACCACTCAGTCCCATCCTTTTCTCTCTAGTTTAACTCTCCTCCTCCTGAAGCTGCCCACAGAGCACTTGAGCATGGTGCAGTGGTGCTTTTTGTTTTCAAAATAAAATAGGTGGCTTTCTTAACTTACCCAAGCATATTGCACCGCTTTCATGAGCACTGCAGCCTCTTGCAGTGAGGTCCTAGGGGGCGCTCTAGGCAAGCAGGCAGGGAGGCAGCTGGGCAATTGCCAAGGAGGGCAGAATGAATTGTTACGGAAGAAAACACACCTACTCACCAGCCACATTGCTATGGTAGTAAGGTAATTACCAGCTCTGTATCCCAGAGAATTTCTCCTAAATGTCCCACCTTGAGGTTAGATTTATTTTAACTCCCTACCCCCTGCAAACTGTGGAGCAAAATATTAGTATAATAGTTCCTCAGAACACATTTGCAACATGTCCTCCCTTACTATTTTTGCTATGTGCAAATATGGTTGGGAATTTTGCAATGCCATTCTTTCTCTCCTCTCTCTCTCTCGTTGCCATTTTGAATATGTTTCATTTCTGGAAACAAATGCAAAGCAAACAAACAGTGTAAAAAATTATCTTTAGTTAGTTTTCTGTTCAGTTTGGGACTTGAAGAATCATAGAGTTGGAAGGGACCTTGATGTCATCTAGGCCAACTCCCTGCAAAGCAAGAATCCTTCTCACAGCCATCCCTGGGCGGACTTGAACCACCAGTCTTCTGGTTAACAGCCAGAAGCACTGGCCTCTTGTGCTACTGGGGGCTTTTGAATGAGTCCAGGAAGTTTATAGGACTTTAACATGCTTGTGCCTCTCCTGAAGTCATAAATTTTCATGAGATGTTATTGTTATTTATTTTTGTTAGTGGATTTCCCCTCAAAATGACACCTGTCCAAATATCGGTTACAAAGTACTTTGCAAAGGAGAAATAGGCTCAAGATTGTCAGATATTGATCTCTGCTACCTGGAAGGAGAACATAAATAATGAGGATATTATTCACTATCACTGATCCAGCAGTGATGTCTGTCTCCAAACTGAATGGGTGGTAGACTTGGTATGCCATATATTACAATTGCCATTACATATTATTTCAGGGAATACACTTTTGCATTAAAGCAGTTTCTCTAATGGGGTTTCTCAAAGCAGTTTCTCAAAGGGGGGGGTGAGTGAATGAGGCTGCAATCCTATATACACTTACCTGGGTATACACCTCACTGAATGCAATGAGACATTATTTCTTTGATTTAATAAATGCCTTTTTCAAAGCAAGATGCAAAACAACTTAGGAAACATTTAAAATATGTAGGAATTTCAAATGAAAACAATAACCAAAATTGTCCATAAATTGTCTTAAAACCACTTCATCCTACAAAAATTACTGAATCACAAACAACAGAAACAATAATCATTCCATCACATATCACCAGATGCCTCAAAGTAGAAGATCTGACTGACCAGACGTAGCATCACATTGTGGAAATCTTTCATCATAAGGAGTCATAAATGATAACGGCAATTGTCCATTTCTAATGCCCCTATATGTAGCTCAGCACTGCTTCCACTTGTAAAGAGATATTGACAGTGCTTTTTTCCTGGAAAAACAGGTGCCGGTACTCACCATGGAGTTGTTACAGTAAGTGTCACACTTTTTAACAACAAAAAAGATATGCTTTGTACCATTGAGTACCCCCTGGAAAAAAAGCACTGGATATTGGTCACCTCTCTGGCTCAGCTGATCCAACACAGAGGTGGTTGCGCAAACCTGACAAGCACCTTGTCCACTTATGGTGGAGTAGATATAAGATTGTTCTGTGAGTGAACAAAAACAAACTCTTTTGAACGTGGTCTTGTACAGACACAAAAGCAGAGCCTGCCGTGGTATGGTAGACACACTTGCATTCTTATCTGGCTTGTGGGTCTATGATGTTCCCTCAGAAGCCAGAACATAGAAAAACAGAATGCCGTTTTTCAATTGTCAGTTGGCTGAGCCTCTACTAACTTGCCTTCCTGACACGTTATATTCTCTGGGGGAAACTTCACAATTTCAGCTTGTTGGTGGGTATTAAAACTATAGGAGCAAAGACAATTAGAGAATGTCAGCCACAAACCTACCACACAAAAATGAGGAGTGATCTCTGTGAGCTCTGTGAAGAAAGGGTGGGTGGGGGATATAAGATCATTCAAGGCCAATCTCCTTGGTAGATCACAGCTGTCACACACAAGACAGCAAACATTTCCCCACTTCCTCCAACATTTTTCTCTTTCCCCTTTGTATATAAAGCTGCTTTGTCTTCCCCATGTTTCTGCAACACAAGTAAAATATTACAGTAATACTTAAGTGGTGAAACCACTGGATATTGGACTGGCACTTGCAACCTTTATTGAAAAGGCTTCCCATCAAAACCAATAAGGTTTTCTTCAAAGTAAATATAGATATAGTCAAGGTGAAGACTGAAATATGCCATTCATTTCTGTAGGCCTGGATATGCTATCTATCTTTTTATACAGCATGAGATATGAAAAGAGACAGATGCTTAGGCAGTTGCAGCTGATGATTCTTCTTCAGCTGATTTAATTCCAGCTCATTGAGCTGGGTTTCCCAATTAGCTAGAGGAAAATGTGAACTAACCATGAGAAGAGGTTGAGTTCAGCAGAACAAATTATATTCAGTCACACTAGACATAGAACCAAATGGAAAATTCCTTCTGGTTGCTTCAGTTTAAACTCAGATTTAACGAGTTTTAAAAGATTCTCATAACTCTTCCCTCTCATCTTCTCATCTAACTTAATCAAGTATCCAAAATCCACTTAGAACTTCTTAACTTACTTTGGCCTTTTGAATTGCACTCCCCTCATATGAAGTGTACATAATTCTTCTCTTTCTCATTAAAAAAAGACTGCAAAATCACAAAGATGGACATCTAATCGTTTCATTGAAAGGCGTCGGGGATCGGTAGGGCTCTGAAGAGTGTGTGGCGGAACAGGGGACTAGTGATTTGTGGTGTGTGTGTATGTGTGTGTGTGTGTGACGCCACTCACAGGGCTGGAGCCAGGGGAGGAGGGAGAGTCAGGGCAGAGCAAGATGAAGGAAGGTGCACCAGATGTGCTGCTCAGTCAACAAATGAGTCAGTAGACTCCCCACCTTCCCCCAGCCCACTGTCTCCGAGAACCAGGAGGAGGTTGAAGCAGGAAGAGCAGTGGTGTCTCCTGTGCAGGAGAAGACTCAGGTTGTGGATTTCCTTCTTCTAGATGGGCTACATTCAGGAGAAGAAAAAGGCTATGGAGTAAACCCTACACAAATCCAGAGGAGAGTCCATAAGGCAGTTGGATAGTGCATTGTACACCTTATTCTGGTAACTCCTGCAGCCAAACTGATGCCAAACATATTGTTCTACTTTCAGGTATGTCCAAAGTTAGGAAAACAATCTGATCCATATAGGTCTGAAGCTGCACCCACAACTTATCCCCCATATCAACATCTTTCAACATCTTCCAACGGTCTTATTCAACATCTTTATCAACGACTTGGATGATGGACTCAAGGGCATCCTGATCAAATTTGCAGATGACACCAAACTGGGAGGGGTGGCTAACACCCCAGAGGACAGGATCACACTTCAAAACGACCTTGACAGATTAGAGAACTGGGCCAAAACAAACAAGATGAATTTTAACAGGGAGAAATGTAAAGTATTGCACTTGGGCAAAAAAATGAGAGGCACAAATACAAGATGGGGACACCTGGCTTGAGAGCAGTACATGTGAAAAGGATCTAGGAGTCTTGGTTGACCACAAACTTGACATGAGCCAACAGTGTGACGCGGCAGCTAAAAAGCCAATGCAATTCTGGGCTGCATCAATAGGAGTATAGCATCTAGATCAAGGGAAGTAATAGTGCCACTGTATTCTGCTCTGGTCAGACCTCACCTGGAGTACTGTGTCCAGTTCTGGGCACCACAGTTCAAGAAGGACACTGACAAACTGGAACGTGTCCAGAGGAGGGCAACCAAAATGGTCAAAGGCCTGGAAACGATGCCTTATGAGGAACGGCTAAGGGAGCTGGGCATCTTTAGCCTGGAGAAGAGGAGGTTAAGGGGTGATATGATAGCCATGTTCAAATATATAAAAGGATGTCACATAGAGGAGGGAGAAAGGTTGTTTTCTGCTGCTCCAGAGAAGCGGACACGGAGCAATGGATCCAAACTACAAGAAAGAAGATTCCACCTAAACATTAGGAAGAACTTCCTGACAGTAAGAGCTGTTCGACAGTGGAATTTGCTGCCAAGGAGTGTGGTGGAGTCTCCTTCTTTGGAGGTCTTTAAGCAGAGGCTTGACAACCATATGTCAGGAGTGCTCTGATGGTGTTTCCTGCTTGGCAGGGGGTTGGACTCGATGGCCCTTGTGGTCTCTTCCAACTCTATGATTCTATGATTCTATGATTCTATGATATCAGAAGTGAACCTGGGAAGGACGTAAGCTCTCAGGAAAAGAGTGGGGGATAATTCAGTGTCCCTCACCTATGTAACCTGCTTGCTATAAAATCAGACTTTTCCATTACCCTGTTCCTATGTCTTTGGGGTACATCTGGGATTGAAACGCACAAAGATCTGCCATCACGTATCATTTGACCCTTGAAGATGGAGCCTTTCTATAGCACAAATTTAGCTCAATCAATCCAGTTTGCTTACAGCAAAGATTGGTAGCTCTTAATCTTCGCTAAGCTTTTGTCTGTTGACGACCATCATGATTCAAATTGCCAGCTTCGTAGATAAATTGCTTATAAGCCCCTTTTCTCTTATAACATTTCTAATTAATCTGAATGTCATAGGGAAAAAGGGGGCACACGTTCCTGGAAGCAGAATGTTGCAAACATGTTTTTCTATTCAATGTCAAAACCATCTGATAATGCCATCTCTGCTAATCCTTACTCCTCTCATCTGTGGTGCTTTACCTTTTCTTTGCCTTTGATTTATGAGACAGGTGACCCCAGCCTAACCCTGTCAGCTTTAGTTCAGAGGGACTCTCACAAAAGATAGGCCTCTGATCTGACAAATTGATTGGCTGCAAGGAATAGTTTAACTGGAAAAGGATCTCCCTAACAAGTGATAAAGTCCTTTTTCTTCAGAGCTTACAGGGATGCTTATGTGGGGAGAATTAATCAACTCTGCTACTGAAGGTGAAAGCGTTGTGTACCACATGGAAAAGCCAAGGATAACAAGAAACAATGAAAAGCTCAATGTTTCCCATGTAATGCATAGGCCTGAGTGTAGGAACAACTATATTTTATTTAAAAGTTGTTAAATGAGGTTAATTGCTAATGATTGTCCTAATTAGGTAACTAATATTAGAGCTTCCAAACAGATTCCTTTGCACTAAGATGATTTGGCAATTAAAATTTAGAGAAAGGCTAATTAAATTAAAGGGTCAGGTTAGGTTTGCTTGTTTGTTTGTTTTTAAATAACACCCGAGTGCTCCCATAAAATATAGTGAACTCTTTATCAGGCCTTAGAGGTTTATAGAATTTAAATGCCAGGCACTGTCTGTGGTAATCAATAAGCTATTTAGGCTGCAATCCTATACCCACTTACCTATGAGTTGAACTCAGTAGGACTTAACTTCAGAGAAGATATGCATAGAATTGCACTGTAAAATGTTTCCCTCTTTCATTTTACAATTAAGAAGATAGGAACGTATACTAGAGAATTTGCTTTTTGTCAGTTCCAATGTGAACCAGCCCAGAAAATTTATGCTCCTGGGACCTCAA